GCTGGCCCCCGCCCGCCCCCTCCCCGGAGGTCTGGGCGCTGCACCCTCACCTGGTCCCTCCTCGCCTTTCCGGCTCCAGGAGTGCCCGGGCTCCTGCTGCCTTGCCCACAACTGCTCACTGCGTGCGGGGGCCCAGTGCACCCATGGGGACTGCTGCGCCCGCTGCCTGGTGAGGGCATAGAAGGCTCCGAGTGAGGGCTGGGGAACTCTTGGCAGCTGGCTCTGCCCTGTGCGTGTGTTCGCTTGGACCTCGCTACCAGGCTCTCCCGTTTCCAATCAGCGCTCTCGGCACGGGTCTCTAACTGTCCATTGTCTCTGTGCCTCGCCGCCCTCCCTCCACCCGGGGAACCTGCGCAGCTGAAGCCCGCGGGCGCGCCATGCCGCCGGGCTGCAGGCGACTGTGACCTCCCTGAATTCTGCACGGGCGCCTCCCCCTATTGCCCCCCTGACATTTACCTACTGGACGGCACTCCCTGCGCCAGAGGCCGCGGCTCCTGCTGGGACGGCGAGTGTCCGACGCTCGAGCAGCAGTGCCAGCGGCTCTGGGGCCCTGGTGAGACCACTCGTGCGCTCCGCCCCCATCTTCGGGTCTGCGCGCTTTCGACTCCAGGGAAGGTGGGCGGGGGAACTGAGGCAGGCTGAGCGTGGTTCGCGTCTGGGCTGACCCCTAGTCCCACCCATGCTTCTCAGGCTCCCGCCCAGCCCCGGATGCCTGTTTCCAGGTCTTGAACCCCGCGGGAGACGCCCACGGGAACTGTGGGCAGCACAGCGACGGCAGCTTCGTGCCTTGTGCTCAGAGGTGGGGAGCAGAGGGAGGCGAAGCTGGGGAAGCGGGTAGGGAGAAACTCCACGCCTTTTGACTACCCTCCACTTGTCCCCAGGGATGCGCAGTGTGGGAAACTGCAGTGCCAGGGTGGGGAGAAGAGCGCACTGGTACCACACACGGTGCCGGTGGACTCCACCGTTCGCCTAGGCAGCCGCGAAGTGACCTGCAGGGGTGCCTTCGTGCTGCCTGGTGCCCAGCTGGACCTGCCTGATTTGGGCCTGGTAGAGTCAGGCACCCAATGTGGACCTCAGATGGTGAGCCCTGCCCATCCAACCCCTCGCTACCACTTGAGTCCCCAGGCCCAAGCATCACGCCACCTCACTGACAAGCGCACGCATTGCCCATAGGTGTGCCAGGACAGGCGCTGCCAGAACGCTACCTTCCGAGAGCTGGAGCTCTGCCTGATTGCCTGCCATGGCCACGGGGTGAGTGGCCCGAAAGTTGGCGGGGGTGAAGGCGGCTTCATGTTTCTGGTCTCATACGACCCCACTTTCCTTTCCTCTGCAGGTTTGCAATAGTAACCATAATTGCCACTGTGCTCCAGGCTGGGCTCCGCCTTCCTGTGACAAGCCGGGGTTTGGTGGTAGTGTGGACAGTGGTCCAGTGCAGCCTGAAAGTGCGCCCCTGGTGGGGGGGGGGAGTGGGGACCGTGTGGTGCACCTCAGGACTCAGCCATACCCTGTCCTCCACAGCCCAAGACACCTTCACGCTGGCGGTGATCCTTAGCTTTCTGCTGCCTCTGCTCCTCGGGGCCAGCCTGGCCTGGTGCTGCTGCCGGCACCCAGGACCCTGTCTCCAGCAATGCCTCTGGGGCTCAAGGAGGGACCCCGTGTGCAGCGGGTAGGCACTGGGGACTTAGGTGGTTCCAGTCCTTCAGAGCTCTGCCTGGCCTGGGGCAGCCAGGGTGGGGTCCTCCGGTGCAGAGAGGCAGGCAGAGGCCATGGAAAGAAGCCTTAAGCATAAGGCCTCAGTGGCCTCCCAGTCAAGCAAAGGTGTAGATCCCTGCAGGGCCCTCTACCCTCCCCCCACCCCCATTACTGTGGTTCCTCACCTCTTGTCCACGTCTCCTGTTTCTCCCACCAAGAGTCTGCCTCACCCTTGACTTTGCCCTGTTTTCGCACCAGCTCATAATGCAATTCCTGCTCCACTGTGCCCTTCAAGCCTCTCCAGCTTCTCTCTCATGAGCTCTCAGCCCTCTGCCACTTCTGCTGCCTTAATCTCGGCTTTTACCCCCTCCAACTTCCCAAATCCTGGGCCCAGCACATCTTTCCATTCCATACCACTGGGCAGCTATGGTGCTGGCTGTGCTTGTGCCAAGGGCCTGCCCCTAACCCAGTTCTCCGTGACCTAGGATGGGGGTTATATGATACCAAGCATGGTCAGTCTAGGGCTGCCCCTTCACTGGGCGCTGTGCAAGGCAGGCCCCCTATGACCACATCCGATACAGACTAGCCTTGGGAGTGTTCCTGGCAAGCTGAGGGAGAGGGCAAGGTGGGGCTAGAGATGGGGGCAGAGGGCATCCCAGACAGGGGCAGGGCACCAGCCAGGTCCCAGGTGTGGGCAGAGATGTCCTTGACAAAGTGAGTGTTGATTGTGGGTCTGTGGGCAGAGGAGCAAGGTGGGCAGAACTTGGCATGTCAGCATGGGGGGCCTGCAGGAGGACAGCGACTACATGTCATCACCAGGGTGGGGTCCTGAGGAGACTTTTGGAAGGGGCAAGGCCCTGGGAGATGGGGCGGGAGCAGCTGAGCATAGCTTGGCATCATTGAGGACAACAGGGCCACCCAACGGCAAGGAACAGACACAGATGCCACGGCAGGAGGAAGTCCACCCCTCTCTGGGGCTTGAGTGACGCTGACATCTGGAGGATTCTGAGGGTGGGGCCAGAGCTTGGGAGAAATGTCAGGGCTGGAGAGAGGAGGTGGCCCTGGAAAGCATGAGTCACAACTGGAGCCTAGACCCTAAGGGCTCCTCTCAGGAGGAAGTAGGAAGAGAGCTGGAGAGAGTGACCTGGCACCCAGCTCGGGCTGGGGGTGAGCTGCCGGCTACAGGGAAGAAGCCCCAGAACACCCTGCTCATGGTCACGGTCTCAGTCTCCTGCTGTCTTATCCACTGCTCAGGCCCAAAGATCACCCACGCAGGGACTACCCTCTGAGCAGCATTCAGCCCACGGAGTTGGGCCTGACAGCCACTGGGGAGCCCCAGCCCCTGGGTGAGTGAAGCACGGTGGGAGATGGGGGAGAGGGGAAGGGATGGGCTCCTGTCTTCTGCCTCCTTCCAGATAGGCCCCCTCCTCTCCACCGAGCACCCAGCCACCTTAAGCCCCTGTGCCCCACCCCTTGCCAGGGACTCCTGCCACCTGTGTTCACGGCACTCTTCCTCCACTTGTTGCTCCCCTTGAGAACTCTGCCAGAGCCCAGCAGCCACCTTGAGAAGCCTGTGCCCTGTGGCCAAGGTAGGTGGGCCTCCACCTCCCACTGCTTACCCACACCCCCACCCCTGCTGCTCCTCATCTGGTAGTCCCTCACTCTGAGGCTCTGAGCTTGCGTTATTCGGGAAATGAGCCCTCCGGGAGAAGCTGTCCAGATGCTGGAGGCCCCTGGGGCAGGGGAGGGAGAAGCTGCGACTCTTCTTGGGTCATCGGCTTTCACTGAGGGAGGACAGGGGTCCCTGCCACATGGCCTGCAGCCTGGGGTCCCAGCCCTCAGGGCATGACCCTTCCCCCACTTCATTCTCAGCAGGTCAAGTCCAAAAGCCCAGATCCTGTCTCTGGTGAAAGGTGACTCCTGAGATGAGAAGACTAAGGACAGCTGCTCCAGGAACTCGGATCCCCAGGGGCAGAGCCAGCCAGTCCGCTAACCTCCTGCACCTTCAGGCACCTACAACATTTCTTCCAAGTTACCTCTGCACCACCTACTCCAGGACCCTGGAGCCTCATCAGAATTTGCTCAGTGCCATCCCTGTTCTGCAGGGCTGCTAGGCCTGGCTAGGGAACACCCTCCAGCCCAAGCAAGAGTCCATCAGTCCCAGGAACAAAGGTCTTGTAGTCACTGACCTCCTGTCACCGGGGGTGGCTGGGTCATGCTGGGAGCCTAGCCTGGACCCATAGCCTCTGTCCAGGTGTGGGTGTGCTGCATGCACTTTCTCCAGACCCAGCTCTGGAGGGCACTGACTGCTGGGTCAGAACTCCAGGGGCCCTACACTTTAGACTGATCCACGTCCCGGAGCCTGGGCCCTGAAAAAACAAACAGAATCCTTGGAACCTTCCTTCCTGCCTCCTCCCCTGGTCTTTTTCCCCCTAGATGCTTCCTCAGTCCCACCCTATTCCTAGTTGTCAGGTGAGGTTTCCGAGGAGCCTGGGGATCTGCTGAGGCTCCCTTCCCTTTGGACATTAATCAGCTCCTCCTCCATTCCATGGGTGGGGACGAAGCAAGCTATTTTGGAAAGGACACCAAAGTAGAAATCAGAAGAAAGACATATTGCCCTGAGACCTATGAGTCTTTTCTGTCTTTAAATTCAACCCCATGGGGGCTCCTTGAAGGTGACAAGGGGTAGTGGCTGATGGGTTGAGCCTCAGATGACAGCCAGGCCCCAGATGTACCTGCGCATAGGATGGTGTTGCCCAGCTTGAATGATCCCTTGGCTCCACCTCTCCTGTCTCGCTTGGACACTCTCAGAGGCCATTTATTCTCTCCCCCTGCTTCATGCAAGAGATGCTGAGTGACATTCTGCATCAGCCAGCTGTTGCTACATTAAAAAACCATCCCCAAACTTAGTAGCTTAGAACAATAACCAGTTCTGTGAATTGGCAAATTACGTTGAACTCAGCTGGTGGTTCGACTCGCTTCAGTCATTCATATGTTTGCAGTTAACTGCTGGTCACTAGGTGGGTCTGCTTCTGGGGTTGGCTGGCTGTTGGCTAGAGTGATGGGGACAAATGGGCTCTGTGTCTTTCATGTTCCAGTAGGTTAGCAAGGCCTGGTCACATAACAGCTGGGGAGCGATCTAAGAGAACACAACCAGAATTAGAGTGAGACAAATGAGGCATTTATCTTGGGCACAAAAAAAGTAATCAAGAGAAGTAATATATACATTTTTTGATATGTTTCGTGTTCCTTTTTTTTCATCAGTCTACAGTGTTGTGTCACTTTCTAAGATAAGTAATATTTTAACGTAGTATATTTACAGATCAAAATTAATGCAAAAACCCACGATGAACAAACATTAAAATTTTAATTAAAGACAGGATCAACTACAGTGCCATGCCAAGCCACACTGGAGCCTGAGGCAAAAGGAAAAACTAGTAATTGTGATCCTGGGGCCAGTGCCCCACTCACCTCCTCCTGCAGGAGAGTAAGTGGAAGCTTGCTGGGCTTCTTCAGAGTCCACGACTGGCACATTTTGCTTCCATAACATTCTATTGGTCCAAGCAAGTCACCAGGCCAGCTCAGTTTCCAGGGGTTGGGAGATAAACTCCATCTCTGGAAGGGAGGAACAGCAAAATCATATTGCAGAGGGTGTGAAGAGTTGGGGGATCTTTGTAATTACCCACTGGCAGCAGAGGAGCAGCAGGACCGAGGCTCTGGTGAGGCTCAGGCATGCCCTCGCTCTGCCAGCTCAAGGCGCTGAATGAGATGGTTTGCTAAAGCCCCTGCCTGTGTCTTCTGTGGGATTCTGACTTACAGAGACAACAGAGCGATGGCAAAGAGTGGTTAATGCCATCGAAAAAAAGTTCTATCGCTCACAGCTCCCTCTAGAGAAAGGGGCACGCCCACCACACAGGGACACATAGGGAAGCACCAGGTTTGTTAAAGAAAGACTGAGAAACTACCACAGATTGGAAGAAACTAAGGTGACATGACCACTAGCTGCAGTGTGGGATCCTGGATGAGATCTTGGAACAGGATGAGGACATCAGTGGAAGAGCAGGGAAATTCAAAATGGTCTGTAGCTTAGTTGTCTTACACCAATGTTAATTTCCTACTTTTAATAACTGTACCATGGTCGGTCGGGTAAGATGCTGATTTAGGGGAAAGTGGGTGAAGGGTATAAAGGAAACACTAGTATTTTTGCAACTTTTCTGCAAGTCTAAAATTAGCTATAAGTTTAAATAAAATCACAAAAGAAGGAAAAGAATAACGTTGTTTCATAAAAGTGATAGTTTAGCATGGGAGAGACAAGGTCTTCTTGGGTGGTTGTGCGGGTGTTGGAGAGTGATGGGGTCCACCATCACTGAACGCCAGGCACGTTCAGGCACTGGGCTCAGTGGCTTCGGCATCTACCTGAAGGCGCAGCCTGGGCGGGGACTCATGGGGGCAGGGAGTCATTCTCAAGCAAAGGCTCCTCCTGTCAGGAGAGCAGGCACAGCAGCGCAGACACCGGGTTTCCATCTCGCTGCGGCTCAGGGGCGCTGGGAAGGAGGCACCTGTCTGACTGTGGCTCGGCCTCTGGTCGTTCTGTCCTGTGTTTGCCGCATGGCTGGCTGCTTGGCACCCGTGCTGCTGCTGCTGCTGCTTCTGGGTGAGTGGCTGCCTCCTCCCCTGGACCTGTGAACCCTGGCTCTCTGACCTGGATCCTCCTCGATCCTCAAGGACAAGGTGGGAGGGCAAGACATCGATTCCAGGAAAAGCCGAAATGCAAGAAGGGGCACTGGTGAGCCACTTGTGTTTGAGGTGGCCACATGGCACCTGGCCTCCAGCCTCTGAGCCCCACGGAGCCATGGTCTCCCAAGTCTCACATTGGTACCCTCACTCCAGGAACTTTCCTTTTCCCACTGCCTCCTCTCCCACCTCTTTCACCTTCCCCCGCCCCAGACCTCCACTTTCAGTCTTGCAGCTTCACAGGAATGCCCTGCCCTGCAGCTCCAGCATCTCCATGCAATGTATCTTGGACTACCCATCAGAAGCCCCTTGGACTACCCCTTCCCCACCTGGGGCATCATGGTGGGACGGGTCACCTTACCAGGTGATGTGGAGTGGGCAGAATGGAATCTAACAAAGGTTTAAGGCAGAGGAGATCTTTCTTAGAGCTGAGATGTGCTGTTTTGAGTGTGGAGAAGAGGTAAGCATGTTCCTCATGGAGGGAAACAGATAAGCAAAGGAACAGAAGCAGGACCAAGACCTTAAGGGACACTTGTTGCTGTTGGGTGTGGCTGAGGCGTAGGGATGTGAGGGCTTGGCTGGGAGAGAAGGGCAAAGTTTGCCTGCTGCTCTGTGAGTGCGGGAGGAGAGGGAAGGAGAGGGCAGAGGGGGCGAGGAGAAAGGAAGGGCCCCGGCTCTCCTGTCTATCCCCTCCACTCACATACCCACTGCCCACCCTCAATGTCTATTCCACTTTCCTCCTTGGCCCCCAGAAAGAGATGCTCAGTGCCAGAGAGGGGCCCTGCTTCCAGCCCTGAGGCAGGAAACACCCTTCTCCACACATCCAGGCTGGGAAAATTCCCTTAGAGTTTGGTGCCAGAAGGCTTCTCAGCTGAGCGAGATGCTCCTGGAGGCAGGGGTAGCCTGATTTTGGTAACCTAGGTCCTAGGAAGGGGCTGCTGAGTTCTGACCGCCAAAGACCCTGGCTTGGGTGGATTTAGATGTGGCCCATGGCACTTCTGGACAAAGCTTACACATTGCCCAACCGACCCCTGGTGTGTGACTAGGTTGTGCCAGGCACTTTGTGCCCCCTGTGGAGTGCCACCTCTCATGGACCTTAAGGTCCTGTGGCCTGCCATCAGGGACTTCTCTCAAATCCACACCCCGGCAGCCAGGTCTAAATGGCTCCAGTGCCCAGAGCCATTACTGGGAATCCCTCTTGCACCCGGATGGTGGAGAGTGGTGGGGCTAGAGGTGAAAGCTAGAGTCCAGATGGGGCAGCATGTGTTAGATTCCGGAGGAGGGAGCATCAGAAGAGAATGAAAGGGGAAGACGCTAGAGGGAGAGGGCAGGAGGAGGCACAAGAGATGGTCAAGGAGGGAGAACTAGAAACCTGTAGATGACTTAAAGGATCTCCAAGGGGGAGGGGGAGAAGGGGAAATAAAGGAAGGTCAGGGGTCCCAGCATGTCAAAAAGGAAGAAGAGGGGCCATGTCCTCAGCGCCATTTCTGATAAGCCTCCATTAGCCAAGTCCCTAGAAGCCTTGCTTTTTTCCCTGTCTGGTGGCGCCTATGAGAGTGAGAGTAACCCCATGGATCCCTTGTTGGATGGGTGAGGGGTGGTGCTTGGAGAGGATGGACCGTAGATTCTGGGGGAGGCCAGGCCCAGCCTTGCTGCGCCCCATCCACCCTAGACGTGCTGCAGGAATCCCCAGGGCCCGCCGCAGCCCATCTCTGAGACGGAAGGTCAGTGCCAGTCACTTATACCTTCGGGTCACATTCTGCCCCCTCGGGTTTGGAGAGCCCAGCATTTTCGGAAGGCGTGACCACAAGACTAGGATGAAGTGTGTGTACAGGGCGCGACAACTGCAGCCTGCCACCGCTCTCCCAGGGTCGTCGAGCTCGGCTGCGCGGAACCGATGCGTGGACGCGGCCGAGGCGTGCACGGCGAACGCGCGGTGCCATCGGCTGCGCACCGAGTACGTG